TGTTTAGGGATGAAAGTAGTGCCAGTGATAGAACGATTATGCTTGGAGATTAGTAATATAAGGAGACTTATATGTGAGGATTATGGTATAGTATGTTGAGTTGGACATCCAGGATTAAATGTCGATGATTACGAAATTGAGGTACAAATAAGTGGAACAAGTGTTTAAATTACAACTTTGACATCGAATGAAAAATATGTTGAAATCTATAACAGTGTTACAGAATGAGGAGTATAAAGTGTTAATTGCTAAAGAGATTAGGGAATAGGCCTTTAATACGGAAGGCATTGATGGATGTTGAGGTTAGGCTACGAGAAGGCTAAATTTATAGAGTTTAAATGGTTAAGTGATAAACAGGTTAACAGGGAGTGTAAATTATAAATATGATGTTGTAGATGGAGAGATTCATGAATAGAATTGTGGGAGAAGACCTGGAAATGACTGACAGGGAGTATGAGTTGTTGTGAGGATTGTTAGTTTTGCATCACAAAGAGAAAGATATGGTGGTGAGTACCTAAGAAGAGGTGAAGACACGTGACAAGGAGAAATAAAGTATAAAAGTGTAGAAATTAATGTGAGTCGGAATTATAGGATACGACAAAATGCCATTGAAAATAGAAAGTATGTGCTTGGGTGAAAGCTAGGAAACCAACGAAATGATAAAAGTAGTAACAGTAATGGAAAGGACTGGTATGTTGGGGTATTGTCGAAACAGTAAGGACAGCGAGAGAATTTAAGTACTAACGAAAGTGTGAGTTGGAAGCTTTCCAGGAATAATCAGTAAGTATACATAAGAACGATTAGAGTCTATTATAGATACAGTTATATGCTTTTGGGAACGACATTGGGTCAGAAAGATAGATAAAGATGAGAATGAGATAAAGTGAGACAGACAAATTGTAATGTGGTTATATATTACCTATAAATTAGTGAAAGTGCAACCGTAAACCATGAAAAGCTTAAAGTATTGTGAATTAAAGGTCGTGGCACCATAAGTGACAAGTTGGTAAGATGGGTATATTATGAACTACAATTAACGAAAATGCAACAGTGATTTATGGAAACAGTGAAAATATAATGAATTAAGTGGCCAGATCCCCGAAATTATCAAGTTTGTGAAGGATTGAATAACGATGGATACCACAAAAACGAGGTTATGCCTGTGACGAAGGTAAAATTTTAAAGATGCACGCCTAAGAAGGCTAGTAGAGAGTGGAAAGATAAGATTCTCCGATTACACCCCATGTTACGGGATCATTACGATGTTAATTTTGCGGACAAAATTCTAAAAGGTGAGATGATTATAACACCTCGCAATTCTAAATTAAGTATTAAAATAATAAGGGAGTGATTAAGTGAAGGATTAGTGAAAATCCTAAAGATTAGGCCAAAATACAAAGAAAGGACAAAACGGTAATTAGCCAACACGCAACCCTAGGAAGATAAAAATTTAGTAGAAGGTCTCAGATGATAAAAATAATCCTGAAAATGGATTCAGAACGAAAAAATGAGTGGGTAGGCAAGTTTCAAAAATTTTGATGAATAGTGATTTTCCCGATGTAAAAATATTGCGGTATAATTATACCGATAAGCGTGAAATTTTTATCAGTATTTTTAGGAAACAAAAATATATCATGAACCAGAAAAATATGTAGGATATGAATTTGTGGTCGAAATTAGGTGATTGTTTAAATTTAAAACGCGTGTTGGACCCACCTAAGTCATAAATCACTTAAGTGACTTCACAACCCCATTTTCCTCTCATTTTCTCTCTCCTTCCCTCCTTCTTCTTCACGGTGACAGCTCCTCCATCACCTTCATTGTGCAAAAATTTCATTTCATCCTAACTTAGTTGTTTCTCCACCGAATCCAACGATTTTTATCTTGAATCGTGATGGAAAACACCTTCTAAACACATTGGTACCACTCTTGAGCCTTGAAACCGGTTGTGTGGGGAGATATTGCTCAATTTCAATTGCGAAAATTTGGGGAAAAAATGGATGTTCATGGAGCTTTTTGATCTTCCATTGCTTGGAGGAGTCTTAGGGTAGCATCTAGCCTTGGTTGTGAGTATATTTCCATACCATTTACATGGTTTGATTGTAGTTTATTTTCATGAACCCTAAACCTTGATTTGTTGATGTGTGATGTTAGAGAGCTCAATTGGAAAAAGTTTGTACATGAAAGTGTCTTAGAATAATGTGTATTAGTGATAAATGCAATGAAAAATTTTGGTGAAAAATATGGATTTTGTAACTTCGAGAAATTTGAGGTGTCATGACTTTGAAAATTGGAAATGTGTTGGGATTAGATTAATGAGTTGTTGGATAATTATATGTTGATATAATGGTATTGTAGGAGGTGTGAAATGATTAAAATTGAGTGAGCATTCTTTAGAAACCCCTAGTGTGCAGTTCAGCCATAGGGTTTGTTTTTGGAGTTTGATGTTGTTTGTGTTGATTGGATAATATATCAAGTGTTGAATGATATTAAAATGTTGTGTGGTGGTTGGAAAGTGGTGGAATCCATGGAAAATAATAAGTTGTATTTATGGACATAAAAGAACCTAGAGGGAATGATTTAGCAAAACGATGCTTAAAAGACGTAAAACAGAAAAACGACACTTGAATTGGCCTCTGTGCAACCTAGGGACGTGTAATAAAATGAGAGAGAAAATTTAGAAAAATAAAGTTGAAAAATGGCCTTGCTTGGTCGAACATTCCAATGGGAGGGGAGGTGATTTTGTGCTTTCGCGTTCTAATGGAAATTGGCGTATACTGATAACTGCATATGGTTGTATAGGTTGCCGTACGTCGACTTGAATCCCGAACCGTGAATCGGAAGAGTGCGCTTGGTCCTGGACCAAGTGAGTTGAGTTAAGTGGCAGAATCAATGCAAGTATAATGTAAATTTCATGAGTTTATATGAATTTTGAGTAATTAGGGAATGTCCTCTGTGTAGGCATTCTGTTGAGTAACAAGTTTGGAAAATAAGCTGCTGTGGAGTTAGTGAAGAGGCATACTAAGGTAACCTCTTGGTACTGGGGCTTGTTCCCTTTTTCTGTTCCACCATACCCGTTGAGGGTAATGGTAGGAAGTGTATACGAGTAGTGTAGAACAGCATGAGCATGCATGCATTATTACAGTGGGTACTTATGTACCGAGTCTCTGGCCAGTAGACAGTTAGCCTTCGGGAAGTTTCGGACTTCCACTGGATAGGTCTCCGAGAGGGAGTTCCAGTTGGCCTAGGGTCGTGGTGTATCATCCGGGTAGGAGCACACTAAGAATGTCTCGGGTGTATATGGATGGAAGGGGTACCTTGGTTGTGGTTCTTGGAACACACCTTGGATGATACCCGTAGGCTTATATGCCGAGGACGTTGCGTGGTATTGGTAGCTACCATTCCAGCTTCATCGTATTTTATATCCCGATATTCCCCAGTTTCTCTACATCCATTGCTATATCCCGTTTTGAAAGTGGTTGTTTTATATTACTTATATGCATCGAAGTGAACCATTGGGTGGAGTTTTCTCCAGAACCTCTGGGTTACTGAGATATATTCGTATATCTCACCCCGTCTTGGGGCATTTATTTCAGGAGGTAGCAGTGGCACAGGAGTGGCGGGCAAGAGGCCCGTAGGATGAGTTATGGGAGCATTGTCATTATTTGTTCATGATATATATATTTTGCCTAAGTCTAGTTAGTTATTATGTCATTCGATGTTATGTTTAAAGTTGTAAATTCAAGTTCATATTTCAAGTTGTAAATTCAAGTTATGAATATGTACGTTGTTATATTTAAATGAGATGTTGTAAGTATGCCAGAATATTGATGTAATATGATGGAAGAGCTTTAGGCCTATGTTAGAATTATGATTATATGCGTATGTTGAGAAATTACATGTAAATGGACTTGGTGATTGAAATGAGTTAAGGAATTATAAAGTGAGCCATATAATATGAATTGTGTAATAACTATAAGCTGAGTTGGGTTGTAAGTACCCCAAGGCATTGTTGGTCCTTGTGTGTGCCACCCATTGGATTATTAGGTACATTTGAGGTGTTAGTGATCATTTGCAATTTGGGGATTTTAAGAAAAACAAAGGAAACTCTGGCGAATTTTCTGTAGAATTGGCAGATTTTAGACAAACTTTGGGAGAGCATATCTCCCTCCACAGAGGTCCGATAGGGACGTGCCATACGCCATTTTAAAGCTTGAGATGTCCCCTAAATGGTGTTAAAATATTAGCAAATTCAGGGTTTCACGCATCCTTGTATGATTAAAAGAACACGGACTATCCAGAACCCCCTTATGCAGGGGCTGTTTCTTGCAGTTTTTGGGAAATTAATTCCCACTTCGTTTCTCAGTAAAATTAAGCGTATGATATATCAAATCGAAGCTTGAGGTGTCTAGTTTGTAGCATAAAAATATTAGAGCAATTGGGTTTCTGCAGTAATTCGTGGAGTGAGAGGTGTTTTGAGCTATTTTGGGGTTGGTTGACTGTTTTGCTTGTCCAACTTCAAACGGCGATAACCGGAGCAAACGAGCTCCGATTAAAGTGTGTGATAGCTCATTAGAAAAGGAATTAAGTAAGACAAAAATATAATTTGAAAGAAAGGTCTGGTTGTGAGCGGTGTGTTCGCAGAAAATTAATTAGTGAACCATGTTCGAAAAGGTAAAAACGTAAAGTTGAGAAATTGGCTAAGTGGGTTTATGGGAACCCCTTAGTAACTTATAATAAGTAAAGTAAGATGTAAAAGTAGTTAAAATAAGTATTCCGCAAGAGTTTACAGTTACGGTCACAGCTTTTAATTATTACGTTTTTTATAGTTTTAAATGCTCGCGTAAAAATTGAAAAAATATTATTCGCATTTTTATAAATGAACTGCTGTGATTGTAACTGCGCTTAGTATCATAAATAAATGTTAACAATACCGGTGTACAACGGGCTGTTGCAAATGCAATGTCATAAGTGGAGCCTTGGGAGGTGGAGGTGACACTATGAGTGCTAGAAGGAGATACCTAAAGGAGGTCATGTCGGTTAGAGACAAACCTACCTTCAAAGGGAAAGCTGATAAGCCCGACCTCCCCACGTTATTTTTTACTGAAGAAGACCTACAAAAGGACGTCACAGGCCACACCGATGGCTTAGTAATTATTGGGATACTAGTTAATTGCCAGGTCAAGAGAATTTTCATTGATTCTGGAAACTCAGCCGACATACTTTTCTGGAATGCTTTCCAGAAGATGAACTTAGATGAGCAAGACTTGAAACCATGTGTCACTGAGCTGATTGGTTTCAATGGAGAACCGTCTCCCCCAAAGGGTTACATTGACCTAAAGTTAACTTTGGGTACCAAGGAGGCATTCCGAGCTGGCAGAGTCCGATTTTTCGTAGTGGATGCAACCTCATCTTACAATGTAATCACTGACCGACCTACGATCCATGAACGGGACATGATAGTCTCATCAAAGCATCAAGCACTAAAGATGGTGGGGTCAAAAAATGAAGTCGTTACCATAAGAGGAGACTAGAAGGAATCCAGAGAATGCTACTATGAAATAATGAGAATATTTCATGGCGGACCGTTATCCCTTCCAAGAGTCAGAGGAGATAAAATCCCTTCCAAAGACCAGTCCGTATACCCATGCGGGAATCAAGTAAATTTCATCGAGTTGGACATGAGAGAGGAGCTCCAAGCACCTCGTCCATAGTCTCAAAGAGAATTAGAGGACATCTGCATTGGAGGGGATGGCAAGCGCCACACTAAGGTCGGAAAGGGTCTGAAGGTCGACACAAAGAAGCAACTTGTCTCCTTTCTTAACTAGAATGCCGACGTCTTCGCATGGAAGGCCTCGGAAATACCAGGTATAGATCCAACTTTTTGCTTCCATAAGCTCTCTATGTATCCTGGATCAAAATCGGTCTCCCAAAAGAAGAGGAAAATGGGACCTGACCGACATCAAGCCCTGAACGAGCACGTGGATGAGCTGCTAGAGGCCGGGTTCATTAGAGAGACAATACACCACATGGCTTTCTAATGTCGTGATGGTTAAGAAGCCTAACGGGAAGTGGAGAATATGTGTGGATTACACTGACCTCAACAAAGTCTGCCCAAAGGACTCGTATCTGATGCCCAACATAGACCAGTTGGTTGACAACTCCAAAGGTTTTCAACTACTGTCGTTTATGGATGCATACTCTGGGTATAACCAAATCCCACTTCACCCAGATGACCATGAGAGGACCGCCTTCATATCTGAAAAGGGAAACTTCTGCTACAATGTCATGCTCTTCGGCCTCAAAAATGTTGGGCCACATACCAGAGGATGATGAACCGAGTCTTCCAGGATCAAATCAAAAGAAACTTGGAGGTGTGCATTAACGACATGATCGTCAAATCAATTCATAGTGATAGAGATGTAGCAGACTAAAGGAAACCTTCGAACAACTAAGAGCTCGACGAATTATATTGAACCCGGCTAAGTGTGCTTTCGGAGTACCAGCTGGAAAATTCTTAGGCTTCATGCTCACTAACAGGGAATTGAAGTCAACCCTGATAAGTGCAAAGCCGTCCTAGAGATGAAGGAACCTCAAAATAAAAAAGAAATCCAGCAGTTGATAGGTCGTCTAGCTGCCTTAACCAGGTTTTTGCCAAGGTCGGCGAAAAAATCTCTGCCCCTCATTAAACTCCTGAAGAAGAAAGCAAAGTTCGGATGAGGGGAAGACTGTATAAAGACATTTGAAGAAATAAAAAAATGTATGGCTTCCTTACCAGCATTGTCGAAGCCGGAGCCCAGAGAGACATTGATTTTATACCTCCCAGTAGGAGAAGAAGCCATCAGTGCCGTCCTAGTAAGAGAAACAGACAAAGGACAACAGCCAATGTACTTTATAGGGCGAACGCTGCAGGGGCCTGAGCTCCGATATCAAATGCTCAAAAAGGTGGCATTTGCCTTACTTACCACGACAAGAAGGCTCCGACCTTATTTTCAGGGACACCAAGTGGTCGTAAGAACCAACCAGCCCATTAGCCAAGTACTGCATAAGCCAGATCTAGCTGGAAGGATGATCAACTTGGCCATTGAACTTTTAGAGTTCGACATATCATATGAACCTCGACACGCGATCAAGTCTCAGGCTTTGGCTGACTTCGTGTTGGAACTTACTCCCATGAAAGGGAAAAAATAAGAAAATGGGGACCTCTAGACTATCTATGTCGATGGATCCTCAAACTCTAAGGGAAGCGGAGCTAGGATGATAATTGAAAGTCCAGATGGGGTGTCCATTGAACACTCACTGCAACTCGCTTTTCCGACCTCAAACAATCAGGCCGAGTATGAAGCATTCATAGCAGGAATATTAGAAGCAAAGGAGCATGGAGCAAGGAGGGTAAAAATACTCAGTTACTCACAGCTTGTAACCTCGCAAGTAGAGAGGAAATACCAAGCCAAGGGGCCCCTCATGATGAAATATCTCCAACAAGTTAAGGAATTATTGGCCGAATTCGAAAAGGCGGTAGACCAGTATATACCCCGGAATGAGAACTGCAAGGCAGACATTCTGTCAAAACTCGCCAGCACAAAGGGCTCGAGAAACCATCGAACTGTAATACAACAAGAGCCGACTTGCATAATGTTCATTACCGAGAATGAGGACTGGAGGAGGCCAATAGTAGCCTACCTCAAAAAAGGAACCCTCCCAGATGAGGTCCTAGAAGCCAAAAAATTGGTGAAAAACTCGGCTTGCTACACTATAGTAGAAGGGCAACTCTACAAGAAAGGTTTTTATACACCTATGCTTAAATGCCTGAATCAAGGTGAGGAAGATTATGTTTTTACCGAGATCCATGAAGGCATCAACGGACATCACATGGGAAGAAAGGCTCTAGCTAGAAAGGCACTCAGGGCAGGATATTACTGGCCCACCATGGAAGCAAATGCAAAGGAACACGTCAAAAGATGTGACCAATGTCAAAAACATGCATTCATCCATCATGCACCTCCTGAAGAGTTGTAAACCATCACTGCCCCTTGACCGTTCTACAAGTGGGGAATGGACTTGTTAGGGCCTTTTACCGCGGCTGAAGGATAACTCAAATGGTTTATAGTGGCAGTAGACTACTTCACCAAGTGGATTGAAGCTAAACCCCTCATCACCATCATCTCGGCTAGGATACAAAGGTTCTTCGAAAGAAACCTTATAAGCCGATTTAGAATTCCAGCTGAGATCATTACAGATAACGACACACAGTTTGCTGATAAAAAGTTCCAAGAACTGATGGTCGACTTCAAGATAAAACATCGGTTTGCTTCAGTTGAGCACCCACAAACTAACGGACAAGCTGAGGCAGCTAATAAAGTAATCATAGAAGGCCTCAACAAAAGGTTATTTGAGGCTACGGGAAATTGGGCACAACAGTTACACCTCGTCCTATGGGGATATAGAACGAGCACCCAATTCTCTACGGAGGAAACTCCATTCAGGCTGACATATGGCTGCGACGCGATGATCCCAGTTGAGATCGGAGAAGGGTGCAAAAGTTACAAGGAACTGAGGAAAAGAATAATGAAGCATTGACTGTTGGAGCTCGACCTCTTAGATGAAAATTGAGAGAATTCAAGATATAAGAATATGATGGCAAAACGTCTCGTGGCAACGAGGTTCAATAAAAAAGGTCAGACCACGATCATTCTAGAACGGTGACTTAGTGCTAAGGAGAGCGGACATCGGCAACATGAATGCCAGAGATGGAAATCTCGCCGCAAATTGGGAAGGCCCTTACAGGGTTAAGGAAAACCTGGAGAAAGGAGCCTATATTTTAGAGACTATCTCTAAAAAGCCTGTTAAAAGAACTTGGAATGCAGATAAGCTCAAGGCTTGTTACAGCTAGGCCCGAAATCTGACCTCCAAGAAACTGTAAATAGATTTATTTCTATGCAAATAAGACGGGCTTTTAAGCTCAGTCAGTAGATAGATTTTATTTCTATGCAAATAAGACGAGTTTCTAAGCTCAGTCAGTAGATAGAAATAATACGGGCCTCTGAGCCTAATCATTTAATCAAGAATATCTCTATTGACAAACAAGATTTATTCAAGTTAATTATAACGATCTCGCAAAACTTAGAAATTATAAGTCGAAGTGCAATAAAAATGAGATTGAAATTGAATCCCACGTTACGACTTATGGGTGGTTCGCCATTGACCTAAGGTCGGAGGTCAATGGCGAACCACCCATAAGTTGTTGAGGGGGCTTCCGAGCAGCCCTGAGTCAATCTGAAACTCTGACTTTCCACAGCTCCCCAAGTTCCAAAACAACTATGTCCCCTGGAGGAGCATTAGGAGGAGGTGGAGGAGGAGATACTGAGGGAGTGAAGAGAGGAACAAAAACCTCGAATGAAATCACCCCCTCACCCACGGCAGAACTGCCGCCAACCACAACGTCAAATCGTCGTTTCTTCGAAGCCTCGACCTCGAGGGGGGAATCGTCTCTGACTTTTCCCTTATAAGAAGTCTTTTTGGGCTTCAGCAAGAATTTCTTGTAATCAGAGCTCGTCATGCTAACTGCAAAAGGAGCCAAGAATTAGAATGCAAGTTATGAAAAAAATTAAAGTGAACGTCATAGGGAGGACCACATACCGAGTTCACGAAGGAGATCATCTCCAAATTTATCTACAATCCGACTTAAATCGATAATGCCAAAATCTTTGGCATAACCGATTAGGACGGAAGCCGCCAATCTTTCTGAATTGAAAAGATCTACCTCCAGAGTAGCATAATCTCTAGGACGCCTTTGGTAATGGTTTTGCATCCAGTAAAGCTCGAACCGACATGCCAAATCCCCTCTGTTCAGCCATTCCTCGGCGAACCAGGGGAGAGAATCAGAACGAGCTGCCACCTTAAAATAGGCATTCTTAAAACCTTTGAAGGATTGGGAGTAGGGAATAATAATACCCCGATTTGGAGCACCTCGAAGGGTAACCCAACCCTTCCTTTCCTTAACCTCGGCCCCAGTCCGGGCTGTATATACATCGAATAAGAAGAAGAACAAACAAACTGAACAAGGAAAGCAGAGATATGCACACACTTGTTCAAACCCTCGGATGAAGGCCCGTGAATTGGGATGAAGTTGTGTGGAAGCAATCCGAAGCCGGCGGATCACGGCAATTTGGAATTCGGAAAGGGGGAACCGAAGTCCCACCTTGGTAATCAAATCTCGATAAAAATAAAAGAAATGAGGTTCGTCCTCATCAGGACTCGCACATACCGGGTTATCACCTGTTGGGAGAATGTCAACCCCAGAAGGGTCTCCAACGGGAAGTTGGATACCTCGGCGCATGACATGGTGGACAACATGTTAAGAATTTCAAGAAGAACCCAATTCTGGACGTCAGATTCCTCCATGACTACAGTCCTAGAACACGAAGGATGAGGGTCAGTATAAAAATCAACTAAATCCGACCTCGGACTACTAAGGTCAGACGGCAATGAGCATGGACTCCAAGAAAAAGGGATGAAGCTGTTAGAACTACTG